CTGATGTCCGATTTGTGTCAATTAAGTGCTTTGCGGTAAGAACGTCAGGATTGGCTAATAAAAAAGGGAGAGGGGCATTGCTGGCACATGATGGCATATATGACATTAGTGGATGTGCAGGTGAATGAGTCCCTGATGGTGTGGCTGATGTGGTTGGGTCCTCTGATGCTGTTGCCAGAGTAGATATGGGGACAGAGTAGGCAACAAGGTTTGCTACGGGGATAGGTTCCTGGGTTGGTGTTACTGTGTTGTGGTGTGTAGTTGCTGGTGAGTATTTGCTTCAGGTTGGGGGGTTGTCTATAAGCGAGGACTGGCCTGCCTCCCAAGGTCTGTGAGAGTGAGGGATCATTTTCCAGGATAGGTTGTAGATCGTGGATAATGCGCTGGAGAGGTTTTAGCTGGGGGCTGTATGTGATGGCCAGTGGTGTTCTGTTATTGTCCTTGTTGGGTCTGTCCTGTAGTAGGTGATTTCTGGGTACCCGTCTTGCTCTGTCAATCTGTTTCCTCACTTCCCCGGGTGGGTATTGTAGTTTTACGAATGCTTGATAAAGATCCTGTAGGTGTTTGTCTCTGTCTGAGAGGTTGGAGCAAATCCGGTTGTATCTTAGGGCTTGGCTGTAGACAATGGATCGTGTGATGTGTCTTGGCTGGAAGCATGTAGGTACGTATAGCGGTCAGTAGGTTTCTGGTATAGGGTGGTGTTTATGTGACCATCACTTATTTGCACTGTAGCGTCCAGGAAGTGGATCTCTTGTGTGGACTGGTCCAGGCTGAGGTTGATGGTGGGGTTGGCAACATTTTTATGGCTGACTTAGAACAATGCTTCCTCAGCTCTCGTCCTCTAGTACCCCTCCTCTACTTGCGCTACACTGATGACATCTTCATCATATGGACCCAGGGAAAGGAGGCCCTTGAAGAATTCCACCTGGACTTCAACAATTTCCACCCCACCAGGACTTGGAAGGAAGAGGAGAAGCAGGGTAGCTGGTCTAGGAGTGAAACATGGTTGTCTAAGTGGATCATGGCTCAGTTCTGTTAGCCAGAGGCCCAGCATTACAGGGGGTCAAAGGCCACATTTAACTGGAGATGATCCTTAGTTGGGGAAGATTCTCTGAATGCTCCTCAGAGCCAGGCTCAGGTCAGACTGAAGTGTGTCCAGGGTCTCTGCTCTCCTGCGCTGGCCCCAGCTCACTCCAGCCAGCTGGACAGCCTTTGTTCCCCAGAGCACAAGCTCATCCACCCTCAAGTTCCTGCCATGCACAGAATGGAGAAGCCTTTAAAAGCCAAATAGCTTGACAAGCTGAGAAGTGTTGGCTCCTACAACCCGAGTTGTGAAGACCAGAGAACTCACCACAATCACCCTGACATTACACAATGGGGCCAATATGGTTCCACTGCTATAAACAGGGCTAACGCAGAGCTGATGCCATCAGCCCTACAGGGCTCAGTACACACACTGATCTCCAGAGTTCTCATTACAGCTGTGGGGCCAGGTTCTCATCACAGCTGAGACAGGAAAACCAAGGAAATGCGAGTTTCCTGTCCGAAAGCAGGACAAAAAGTAAAAGCCACCACATAAAAACAAAAAACCCACCAAGTTTATCAGCTAGCCCCCCTCCCCCAATTTGGTTCAAGTGAAAGTGTTTTGCTTTTGACTATTTTGATTAACATAAGAGCTGCCATATTAGGTGAGATCACATTCCATCTTGCCCAGTATCCGGTCTCCAATGGTGGCCCCGACCAGAGCTTCAAGGGGAGTAAACAGAACAGAGCAATTAGGAGTGATCCACCCCTCTCTTCCACTCCCAGCTTCTGGCAGTCACAGGTTTAGAGTCACCTAAAGCATGGGGGTAATATCCCTGATCATCTTGGCTAATAGCTATTGATGGATCTATCCTCCAGGAACTTATCCAATTCTTGCTTAAACCCAGTTACACTTTTGGTCACCACAACATCCCATGTCAATGAGGCCCACAGGTTAGTTGTGCACTGTGTGAAAAAGGACTTCCTTTTGTTTGTATTAAACCTGCTGCCTATTAGTTTTATCAGGTGATTCCTCTGGTTTTTGTATTGTGTGAAACGGTAAATAATGCTTCTCTAGTCACTTTTTCTACAACAGTCATGATTTTATAGGCCTCTATCGTATCCCCCTTAGTCATCTTTGTAGTCTCTCCTTGTATGGAAGCCATTCCAGACCCTTGATCATTTTTGCTTCTCTTTTCTGAACCTTTTCCAGTCCCCACAGCCTAACATCAGTTTCAGAGACCCCCATCCCCTCCACTGGCATGACATGTAGCTGACAGGAAAGCAGGACAGCCATGCAGCAAGGGGCTGAGATAGCGCATTCAGAGTAAGGCATGGAGCTGAAGCCCAGGATCAGACTCTGGAAGGGATAACAGTCATTTCAGCACATCAGGGATGGACTCAGATGACTGAGAAGAATGCCAAGTCTTGAGCCCACACTCCCGAACAATGACAACAGACTCATCCATAGACACCGCTGTGCACAGACCCAGGTGTTTATATAGGGGAAGTTTTCCAACATTTACTTCAGGGGGAATTTTGTGCCACAACACAATGCAGAATTTGCGCAGAATTTCATTTCCTCCCTCTCACAGCAGAATTGGTGCTGCAGAGCTGCTGGCTGTCAGTAGCACATGCGGGACCTACCAGAGCCTGGCTCTCCAGCTTGCAAATACATGACACTGTCAGGGGGAGGGGGAGGGAGAACTGGACTGTTCCATGCAGGTGCAGTTCCCAGCAT